GAAATGTTTTCCCCTTCAGTGTGGGCGGGACTTAATTACGCTCTCTCTAAATGTCAGTCGGCCATTGGGGATAATCTTTGCTGTAGTCTACAAATGTTTGAAGACATTAGGCAGTGTGAGGTCAGCAGCTGGTCGAGGTCTATTTGGTTTGTTAGGGCCCTTAAAGGTTTGGTATGCAATTCAAATCCAATAAAAAATTCTAATTCAGTGAAAATCTCCTCCTGGTCTGTGTGCCCAGTGTGTGTGCTGAAAAAAAAAATCAGTGTTTGCGCACAGATGGCTCTGTAAGTAGGAAACAACACAACACTATCCAACCATGATATGCGTGTCAGGTGACGTAAAATGACTTGCCCACAGACATTCAGCTTACTTAGTTACTCTAGTTTGCCAAGATATGCTATTGTAGTGATGTTAGCTATAGTAGCAGGAGAGTTGTGAGTATCGCTCTATGGAGCTGGCGTGCTGGCTCTGGGAAACCATCTTATACTCTCTGCTTTGTTAGCTTCGCAGCAGCAACTGAAGTAACAGTTTGCTAACCCACAACCCAGCTTAGATTAATATATCAATATCATGGTATTTGTCATGGCAGGCTATAGGACTTTTCCAGAATCCCAAACCCCACCTTTCAGGGCAACACTCACTAGCCAAGTTTCCATCCAAATTTACAGCAAATTGTAAACACATTTCCAGAAAATCTGCAACACAAAATGCGAACGAATGCACATTTCCATCCACCAGTGTTATGTGAGAATAACAATAGGGTGCATCAAGATATAAAATAATATATATAAGGAGGCACTAATTTTCTAGTCGGGTGTCATTTAAACACTGCAGAAGAAGAGGTTGCAACAAGATTACTTTTTCGTGTCTATATTGGAGCGGAAGCATCAGTGGACATTAAAGTTAAATGCTTCAGCTATGTCATGACTGTTTCTATTACCATTTGTCACATTTTGCTTCAATCTTTTTTGTAATATTTCAACTTTTTTCCTAAATGTGCATTAAAAACAGGTCGATGGTAACGTGCTTACTGGCTGCTTTGCCTACCTTCACATCGTCTTACACCCATAGCAATGACTGGACATGCCATACAGTGAGATGAAATAGTTGTAATACAGCTGCTGGAATTGTTGAGCTTCTTTGATTCTTTTCTGATGTTATCAGATGCAATAAACTGCTAGTTTCCATACAAGCTTACTTAACTGTGCGTGGCTCTGGTTGAAAGCATTGACACAATGTGTAAAATGAAAATGTAAACTAGGCTGTGTGGAGTTTAGTCCTTACGGTCGGCTGAGCTGGACAGACTGAGAGTGCCAGCCATCGTTAGTAGCACAGGATCAGTCATCTTCAAACAGGCAGCCATAGTCTGATCGGTGGGGCAGTTGACCTTCAGAGCAACCTGGGGAGAGGTTTCACAACATCTTCAATTGTTTCTCAGCTCTTAAGTTATACAGTATGTACACCTTTAAATTCAAGATAACTATTGCAAATGGTATTAAAAGTTCAATAGAAATAAAATGTGTCAGTGAAGCTTGTTATGTACCTCCTCAGCAAACCTGCGGGGGTTCTTGTTAATTGCCCAGGGGCAAAGGGCAACCCCGCTCTGCGAGATTGCTCTCTTGAACAAACCCTTGTTGTGGGGCGTGAGAGTCTGTGGGCAGGCAGACAGTAAAATATTTTGGTACATTTTTTATTATTTTAGATAGTTACATTCATATTTACAAATGGTGAATGTCTATCACCTCACACCCAGAAAAAAGCCTCTCACCTGCATGCTGACACTAGCTGCACCTGCAGACTCTCCAAAGATGGTGATGTTGTCAGGGTCTCCTCCAAATGAGCGGATGTTCCTGTGCACCCAGGCGATGGCGTGTTGCTGGTCCCACATACCGTAGTTTCCTGACGAAGATCAAACTTTTCACTCAATCACAGCAGGAATTGCTCTTTTGATTAAACAATTTAGAAACATTGGCGTGGAGGCCTACACCTTCCAGGCTCTGTACAATTCTGTCATTGGGACCTACCAGGTAAGCTAGAGTCGCCTGTGCTTAGGAAGCCCAGAGTCCCCACGCGGTATCCCAACGTCACCACAATAACGTTTCCTCTTTCGGCAATCTCCTGTCCGCTGTACAGGTAGTTGTCTAGGAAGTTAGCACCCATCGAGCCCCCCACCAGGAAGCCTCCTCCGTAGATCCAGACCATCACTGGCAGATCAGTGGACACTAGAGAGCAAAGAGAAATGGAACCAGTGGTAGTGCGGATCTAAAATGGATGACACTCTGTGAGCTTCTCTCAGTCTTTACCTGAGCCGCTGTGAGGAACCCAGATGTTGAGGTAAAGACAGTCCTCACTGCCTCTGACGTCATTCATGATAAGGTTCAACTGAAGACATCTCTTCCTGTACTCAGTGGCCTTCAGAACACCTGAAGAGGAGTGTAATAGCAGTGTAAGACTTTTGGAAATTACCAGAATAAATTATGTATCTTTTCATGACATATTACATTATACAGTTTAGTTTAGGCCTTTAGCTGATGCTCATTTATCTCTACAGCTTGAAGATAAAACCTTTTCAGTCAATTCAATTAAAGTTAAAAAAGAAGTGGGAGTGGATTTAGCTGCAATAGTCATGGCCATGATTGCTAAAGGAGCATACATATATTTGTGGTGTGAATTATAGTTTGTAGTTATTGGACTAGATGTAAAATCCAGTAAGTGAGAAGTTCAACCAGTCTACCCACCATCCCAGCCAGGGTGACGCTTTGGTTTCTCAAACCTCCCAGGGATGTCAGCAAAGGGAATCCCCCTGAAGACGTCCATGTGACGGCGGAACCCAAGACGAATATTCTCACCCTGCACCATACCTCCCTCTGTGTACACCACACCGAGCTACAGAACACAAAGAAATGCAAGATATTGTGTTGATAAAGTAGTCCACCAAAAAAAATTGCTTTTTTAAATCATATTACATATAAAGCATTTAGATTTGAATTCTCAGTTACCACTTGGCATGTTTTTTTTGTCATATAAGAGCAATTTCAACAATGCTTTATTACAAACGAATTGGGTAGAAATATGTTGTGACACAGACTTGTGTTCCAGTACAATCTATCAGTGATTGATGGCTCAAAAACAAATAATCGTGCTTTCTTAATTAGGGATAAAAGATGAATTTCAGGAAGTCTGTGGGTGCAAAAATTATAAAAAACTCTTTAACATACTGAACACAGAGAACTTGAACAGGGTTCTTTAGGAAAAATAGAATAAAACAGTTGTGACACTTACGGAGGCGGCGGAGACCGTCTCCAGAAACACAGCCACAGCTACCAAAATCCCAAGCTTTGCCATCATGACTGCGCTGTGAAGACCAGGTTCATTGTCGGTCAAACTTATAAAGGAAACCCCTCCCCCAAACAACATCTGACTAGTGTACAATGTGCGACCCTTCTCACTGTTACATAACACATAATGTTTAACCACCTTGTGTCCACAACACTTTCCTCAATCCTTCACATCACCTCAAACACTTTCAAATGTTTTTGGGCTTAATCATGTAGCGATCAAACAGCAAATGGAGGCCAAGTTATATAACCTATCAACATGTGAGATAAGTGGTTATCATTTTGACATTGGTAGTGGAGACTGATGAAGTCAGCAGTAACCAAGTTAAAATGCTTAGTGCTACGTGATTTGTCAGTTTGGCACAAGTGGTAGGTGTTATCAGTAAGGATCCAAATTCAGCCAAAAACGTCATGGGATGTGAAATGCCCATTTGATAAAAACCTCAAAGATTCCATTTGTGTTTCTTTCCGTCCACGAAACCAGGTTTATATAAACCATTTACTCATCTACCTCACCTGTTTTACTTGACTGCTCATAAAGTGGGACATAAAATTTGAAATATTGTAATATAAAATATCATCACCTGCTTGAGGACGTGATTGGAAATGTGAATATAATGATCTGAAAACAATTATTAGACATAATAAGGGTAAATCCAGATAGACTGAGACCTTCTTTCTCTATGACACATGTAATCTGAAATTACATATAATAGCTTCTTTAAGAAATTGTTGAGTAAAAATAAAAACACTATACAGAAGTGAATGCTTTCATTGAAAAGGTTTGTGTGACTGAAGTTTGAAGTGATTTTTAGTTCCTCACTTTTGCAGATTTATATCAGGAAGGAACATCTTCTGATTTAACACAGCTTTCCAAGTGGACTCAATGCCACACTGCAGCAGCCAATCCAAAAGTTGATCCTTGTTTCATGTATAACCTTTTTCCTTACGCTGCAAAGCTGGACTGTAAATACCTTCAGCAATTTTAGTGAAATTAATTAAAAATGAGCCGATCTCTTAAATGCCAGTGAGTGTATAGATCTGCAATAATCTACACATAAATATTGTCATGGCTGCCCTTTTCATAATCACTACAGTATACACACATACATTGTTCTCATACTCATGTGGATACAAACCGTATGTACAGCCAGGGGCCACACACCACCAGGAAGACACAATACAGCCAAACTGTTAGATTAGCAGTAGTTTGGCATTTGTCCTGTATGTTTTTTTCTCATTGCTGTTTTCACATTTTTCATGATTTTTCTAAAAAGTAATGGTATCCATCCATCGGGTCGCTGGAGCCAATCCCAGCTGACATTGGGCGAAAAGGCAGGGTACACCCTGGACAGCTCGCCAGTCCATCGCAGGGCCACTCATAGATAAACAACCTCTCACACCTAAGGACAATTTTGGAGACACCAATTGACCTAGCCTGCCTGTCTTTGGATGGTGGGAGGAAGCCGGAGCACCCGGAGAGAACCCACGCAGACACGGGGAGAACATGCAAACTCCACACAGAAAGGCCGGGGAAACCGGGGTTTGAAAACCACAACCTTCTTTCTGTGAGGTGACTGCTCCACTGCACCGCCCCCTGTCAGGTATCCCTGACACGATATTAACTAAAAACACTGTTACAAAGATGATACAACTCTTACATAAACCACTAGAAATATTTTTTATTTACATTTAACTCAAAAAATTGTTCATATCATCATTTACAGAAATGGTGGACAATATTAACAGTCAAGATTAATGTCATGAAAATGGTTGTCTTTTGTTACATGTAATCCAGAATTTCTGTCTCCATCTCATTTTCACTTCCCTCTGACGGCTGAAAATCATCGTCCTCATCTTCCTCTTCATCATCCTTGTTCTCATCATCCTGCACCTCTTCTTCTTCATCCACATCGTTCTCTGGGGATCTTAAACCTAGGCCTGGGCGTCTGCGTCTCTTGGGCCTTTCTGGCAATGCTGAGGGAGAAAAATAACATCACTTTGGTTTTGGCTCGCACTAACACCGGCCCTGGCCACGCTTTTGGTCATGCTGTGACTACCATAAGACAGACATTCTTTGTGATGGACATTTTCCTTACTGGGTTTCTGGGCTCGGATGACCTTCTTAATCATGGCTGAGATCATGTCCCGCAGCTTGTCTGTAGTGCCGAGACGACACCAGCCGTCCCGCTCGTCACATACCTGCTCATTATCGCCGGTCTGCTCAATCACCTGTTTGATACTGGAGACACACAAATAGCTGCATCACACCGGAACAGTGGTGGAAAGTAACTACACTACAGGTATTTCTACACTGTGGTATTGCTATGTTAAAGCTGGGGCAGGCAACGTTTCGCAAGTATCCAGCCGAGAAAATCCCACTCACTCCAAACTCACTCCCTCAAAACACTTCATATGCAGTGAGTGCCCGTAGGTTGACAGGTAGGTAGGGAGACAGCCGTGCTTATTAATGTCCAACAGCCACAGATACCAGATTTGTTTTATTTTTGTATCAGAGCATTTGATTTATTGATTGCTGTCGTGATGTAAAGAGAATTTAAGCAACTTTAACAAAAAATGCTTCTAAAATAAATTGGCTACCCGAGCTATAAATTGAAGATCTGAGTATTTCTTCCACCACTGCAACAAAACCACAACAACAGGGACATTTTCATTATAATAACTACTGATGATGTGATATCCCTTTACTGACATTTACTTTATTCTGTTGGGGTATTGGAATACTTCTACCACTATTTATCTACGGTACCTAAAACATGTTACACTGGGGGTTCCTAGAACTCTTTTTTTTATTATGAAAAAAAATCAATAAAGAAATGATTTTAAAAAAATCAAACAAGCGCAAACCTTCTGTTCTGTTGTTACAAGGTTAAATATAAAATCTAAAACTCTAAAAAAAACTTTCTGGTCAGCTTAATGGCTTAAATTATGAAAAGCTATTAGGAACATCTGTGCCTGCAATTTTAAGCAATTCACACTGAAACCAGTTTTATGCCAGTTGTGGTTAAAAAATAAATAAATAAAAAAACAAGGTACAAAAACAGTTTTAGATCCCTTAAATTGAATTCGAAAAACTACATGTACTTTTCATGACTTAACTGCCTAATTCTTAGGACTTCTCAGCACTTGCAGACACCCCGACATTAACTCGAGTTATCTTCAAGTTCTTTAGATGAAAATATATAATATGTAAAGTAGGGGCGGGGGGAAAAAATCGATACAGCATAGTATCGCAATATTTGCAATGGCGATACTGTATCGATACACGGACGCCAAGTAGTATCGATCTTTTAGTGTATAAATTGCAGATGGGAGTTTTAACTTTTTGGTACTAGAATAATAAAATCTGCTTTTTTTGTCCACTAGAAAACTTAACAGGACCATATAGAGGACTGAAAAAGTGATATGAACAAACATAGAAATGTATGTTTTTAGATAAACAGATGTTGACAAAGTTTGACTTTAGGGACCTAATTGGAAGTTGGAAAAAGGTAATAAATTGCAATATATTAAAAATTGCAATAAAATTGAATCTCAACATAAATATCGTGATAATATCGTATCGGGGGGCCTCTGGTGATTCCCATTCCTAATGTAAAGGCAAGTAGTGTGTGTACAGTAACGTACCTCTCCACTTCCAAATCACAGAGCTGGTAAAACATCTGTCTGTGAGGAGGCAGCATGCCCTCTCTGAAAATGTAAGATGACTCCTGTGGAGGAAAAACGGGTCACTTTGTATCGCTGCAAACATCATGCAGATTTTGTCTAATCAAAGTTTACTGCAACCCTTGACCATCAATAGATAAGACAGCCCTTATTATCTTCCAGCATGTTAATCTTTACGCTTTTAGAGATCCAAAGTGTTCAAAATTTTATAAATGAAAAACACAAGATATGACAAAATGTAAAATCTGACCATGAAATCCGTTCTGCCATTAAGCAAGAAAGGATTGAAACTAGCATTTTAACCATGATCCAATAATGTTTTCTCATAACTAGGCTGGATTAAGCTAGATACTGGACCCTCACTGACCTTCAGCTGATATGTGACTGGGACTGGATCTCGACTGGTGCTTGGGCCCTCCTGAGATGGAAGCTCCATCACGCTAGCTGGCTGGGGACCTGGGAATAAAAAACATGTTGTCAGTTTACCTTGGCAACAGCAATGGAACGTTACACAATGGAGATTATTAAAGACTAGGGTCAAGATTTGAACCATTTATTGCTGCAATATGCATTTCAGTTTGGCTCTGCTCATGTGATGGCCTGGAACAATCCTGAGCATGCTGGGGAGGTGGATGGAGTTACATTTCTGAAAGCAGGCAGCGGTGTAGCAACATGGATGTAGACTGAATGAGTACCAAACATTTGAAGGATCAAGGTTATACAATGAAATGAAAGTTTGTCGCCCCTTTGTGCTACACACACACACAACAGATAATTCAATTTATATTAGAACAGGGTAATGTATAAAACAATGTATACAGTTATTTATATACATACACATATACACCAAAGAAATCTGCATGTGCAGCTGTTGCCATGTTCAAAATCTCCTGATCTAGACAGTTTAAGCAAGAAAGCTGCTTGTTTGGCCACAAGTAAAACTGGCTTCTAAGCTAGCAGCTTGGAGGAAATGCAATGCTAACGAGCCGACCAATCCCAGTTCTTGCAGTTTAGTTAAATTTTTCTGGACTTGGTCCAGCTTGAGGCGATTTTCTGTAAGTATCTGAGAGCAGCACACACTTTTAGTCATTTTAGTTTTTTTATTTTTCAGTCTGTCAAGCACTTTAAACTTTAGCACTTTTTAAGTTTTGTTTTAAAATAATGAAGTTTATTTTAATAATAAATAATTACAAAAATGTACCTGTAGGTGTCCAATAATTTTTCTAACTATCAATGTGTTTTGGATATTACAGAAGGTTAGAATATACTGTTATGGCGCTAAAGGTGCTGTGAAAAATTTGGGTGTACCTAAAGTTTGTGGCAGTGCAACCAATGCGAAAAAGTAATCTTGCAGGGCGCAAGACTACGCAAGATTAGGTTAGGATGTAGATTTCAGAATGTGTGTAAGGGAGAAGTACAGTTTGTCTGAAGTGACGTCATTCAACTGCATTATTCTCTACGGTATATTAATATATATTTAACACTAGCCAGTAATGGCTATAAATTAGATTAGTTGTCATTTAGGATGGAAAAAAAACATAGGGTTAAATATAGGGCTCAAAACTAACTTTTTCACAACCTTCCCAAAACTCACAAGGGGGAGCACTATTAGCGTTCTACATTATCTCAAAATGGCAGATATCGGCTCGGTTAATCGGCTGATTGATTCAAATAATACACAATTAGAAGCTGTATGGAACATGTGACTTTAAAACAACCTCCGTGCCCTTTTCTGTTTTTGTCTGCAATATTTATGTGCAACCTGATGCTTAAGGGTGTGCCAAAAAAATCTATACAACAACATATAGTTATAATTTTTCCGTGATACCATATCTATATTCCAGCCCATCATATCGATACATAAAATAAATTTTTTAAAAAAATAGCGCTTTGACGGTTAGCTCAATGCTAACATAATGGAATCTCCGTTAACGTGCTTAGGGAAATTAGCACCGCAATCACGATATCATAATCTTAAAATAAACTACACATTTCGCTTCACATGTTTAACATCCTGAGTGGCATACTGTGCAAATACAAGTACATATGTTTTCTGAGCTCTGTGTGAAATAAAAAAAGAGATGCTAACTTCACTGTCTTGATCTGCTACTCTACTGCTTCAGCACTCCACACAGACTAGCTACAGCAACCCCAAAGGGTCAAAACTCAAACCCAAAACCTAAAAATACAGCTACCACTAGGTGGAGAAAGGGCAGCACAACAGCTGTGTGACTGAACAGTTATCAATATAATGTGATGTAGAATTAGGTGGTACACAGCAATTTGTAATTTCAGCAAAAAATTCAGTAAATTTGCATTTTTATGTGCCTTTTATAGGAATTTCTCATAGTTTCTCTATAGTTCTGTAGTTTTAATTTACAGACTGAAAACGTGTGCTGCAGAACTGTGCTGTTTTCTAATTTGCAACAAATAGAGAAAACATTTCACGGGCATTTTGTATTCATAATTAGACAGATATCGTGATGTATCATTTTTGAATTGTCTAGCGATATACTGATTATAGTAGAATTGCTTTATCGTGATATTATCGTTATCAAGAGCCATGTATCTTGTATCGTAAGGTACACAGTGATTCCCACCCCCACTGATGCTGCTCTCTTGGCCAGGTCTTTTTTACCATAGGAGACACATGAAATGTGTCAGTTAGGGCTGTCGCGATAACTGCAAAATTTAAATACCTATTGGTCCATCCTACTGCGGACGATCGCAATCACCGCAACAACCGCAATGTTCATACTGTACACTTCAGTGCATGTTAAATTAATAAATGAGTGCTTCAAAAGTTCCACAACCGTAACAAGCTCTGTAGGATTGATCGCCATGGGCTGTACGTGGCCCGAATTAAAACTCTGAAGCTGTAAGTGTTACCGTGTTTTGTGTTGTTTTACTGTTTATTTTAAAGGTTAGCTAACTTGGCGTTAGCATATTGCGCGGAAAATGTGGCTAGCAGGCTCAGCGATGTTGGACTAACGTTCCTGAGGGACAGTCCAGAGAAACTGTGGACAGTAAGCCTCATTTGAAGCTCACTAACTAAGAAGCCTAGTGTGTCAGAAGCCTGCATCTGTTTTTCATGTTGCTTTCTGTGGAAATTTAGTTATAACGTTACTACAGCGCAGTGGTTAGTTGTGGACAGCCATTCTGCTCACACCGGTGTGCGCGTGCGTTGCTGCGGTATGTAAATTGACTCGATCATTACCTGAAGGTAATGATATAGCTATGTCTGAAAAAGACATAGTCAACAAACATGTTGTTGACTAGCACGCAGCAGCTAGCTTGCTCAGACCATAAAGCTGCTGTTAGCGGCTCGCAGTGCAGTGAGGTGACAGATACTCTTACTCTGCTATATGGAACCAAATTACTTCATTGATGACAAAATGTGATAATACCGCATACTGCGCTGTTGAACCCCATCATATTGCAGCAGTGGAAATTACTTCACTGCGACAGTCCTAGTGGCAGTATGAAAACACAGGTGTAACTTAAAATAAATGAATGAAATAAAATGAATGATGGCTGCATTCCATTTAACTGCTTCTGTAGTGCTTCCTCCATGTCAAATAAATGCACACATTTAAATGAATCCACCAACTCACCTGCTTTGTTGAATGTGATAGACAGACTGTAGTTAAGGGAACTCCGCTTGGCTTTTACTGGCATGTCAGATAATGAATACCCTTAAAGTGGGAAGGAAGAGGAATCAACTGTCAGGTTCAGGCAGACAGGTCTTGACTTTTCATAATAATTAAAATAAACTGACAGTGTACTATATAGTTGAAGTGGCTACTGAAGAAAGTTTGACTGAAAACTGCTGATGTTCAACATAGACAGAAAGATTTAATTTCAGCTAAATTTGCCTAAAATTATTTAACGTGATCGAATTATATAATGTCACAGCACTCAGCTCAGTAAAAAAAAATTGCCTCTGGTTCTTACCGTGCTTGGTGCTACAGCGGATCCTGAAGTCTAGCAACTGGTATTTCTTGGAATCCGTGCTCTTTCGGGGGTCGTAGCCCAGCCTCACCCACAGACTCCTCCACGGTCCTGTGACCTAAAGAAAAGCAAATCCGATGTTTCACTTACATTTGGGCAGAAAATAATGTTGATTCCCACTTTTAATTGTATAACATTTCTTTGGTGATTTGCATAGGAGAACAGACTGTATGAATCACTCAATAATACAGACAGAGAGTGGACACAATAACATGAACACTTGTTCTTTGCAGGCTGTTGCTTGTGGGGTTGTTGTTCTGGAGTTCAATATTTCAGAAAGGAGCTTCACAACAGCAGTCTAAAAAAATGATGATGTTACAAGCTTCACATATATTCACAAATGAGCGTGGAATCTATTTCGATACAGATTTCCCATTTCAAGACATTTATGTTCAGCCACTGCAAAGCAACGCCTCACCAGGTTTATTGCTCAATCTTTCACTGCTGAATGACATAATGGAAGATGCATTTGAATGGCACATGTTTTTCCACTTGAAATGCACGCCCACAATCTTTACCAAGCCCACTCCGCCCCCTCCGCTCACCATGTAATAGGCGAAGACGGGCAGCAGCAGTTTCAGTTTGCCAGGGTGGATGTCGATGTTGGCCTTGACCGCGTTACGTGACCAGATGGGCCGGCTCTCAAACATCTAGGGACAAAAAGTGTGGTTTGAGATAAGATAAAAAGAAAATTATGGTATGTCATACCTGTGCAACAGATAAATCATTTCCCAACTTCAACCAGTGCAATTTCTGGAGGGTAAACTGTTTTTTATGATAGTTTGGCTACACTGCTGAAAGAGCTAGCTTTCATTAGCAGTAAACTAATTACGTGATGTAAACCAAAATAATTGTCATTTAAACAGTGTGAGAAGGGAATTTAAATACAGTCACAGAAGCTTTTTAAGTTATGACATAGTACAAATGGATTTTTTGACCAATGTATCACTACGGAGCAATTTTTGTACACGTGGTTTTCTGTTTTATTTGTTCATGCACATATGAGTGTCGCTATTCACATTCCTGCCAAGACTATGTCAAAACCAGGGAAGAAGACTGCAAGCTAGAAAACGTAGATGTAAACAATACAGGTTTAACATTTAAAAAAAAAAAAAAAAAAAACCTGAAAGAGGAGATACATAATGCATTTTGGTGATGAACAATAAAAGTTAAAAGAAACTTTATTTACAAGAACACTCAAAAGGGCTCCTTTAAAGGATCAGTGTGTAAGTTTTAGTGGCATCTAGTGGTGAGGGTTGCGAGTTGCAACCAATGGAGATGGTTGGGGCGGCTGTGGCTCAGGAGGTAGAGCAGGTTGCCCATTAATCGGAAGGTCCAGGCTGCATGTCGAAGTATCCTTGGGCAAGATACTGGACCAGCTGGTGGCTGTTCCACCAGTGTATGAATGTGTGTGCACTTAGGCTCAGTGTGTGAATGCGATGTAGTGTAAAAGCACTTTGAGTGGTCGATAAGACTAGACAGGCTATACAAATACGGAGCATTTACATTTAACGGTTCACATCCATCCAGGGATGTTCCCGAGTTGTGAAGTCTTTCTTCCGACTTTGGTGTGTGGTGTGTTCATGTGCTTTGTAGTCGGAATGTGGAATCAACATGGATGCTATTACAAAGATGTGTCGATTAGTATTATCAGACATCTACGATATCTTATATCAATTTAATTTCAAAAAACAACAATAAGGGTGTGAAAACTTTCAACATCTCCCCTTTTAATATCTTTATATGATATAAACTGTTCTGTATACTTCTTTATGTCTCATGTACACGTTATTCCTGTTTTTGAAATAAAGATTATTATTTCTATTTTATTTTTTTTTAAACCTGTCCTGCCCGGCAGTCTGGTATGAGTATGAGGAGCTGGATACCATATTGTGCAAGACAGATTTTACTTTAACAAGAGAGTATTAATATACTCCTTTGTCTGTACTGTTATTTATTCAAATTTATTTGTCACCGGGCCAGACAGGGATAAAGATATAAGCAGGAAAAAAACTTTCAACTATTCCGACGCCAAATGAACGAATGAATGAATGAGTCACTGCTCACCCCTCCCTTTGCAAGCGCTCAGGAGAAGCTACAGTAGCTGACACGCTCTGTGCTAAATAATACGTGTGGTCATCTATTTGTCTAAATTTCACTTCTCTTCTTATTTCTAAGAAAACAGACAACGACAACTACTACTACTACTACTACATATTTAACGTAGTGACAAAACGCACTCTGTAGAACCGTTTTGGGCTACTGTAGAAACATGGCAGCACAACATGGCAACTTCCATGTAAGAGGCCCTGCGGTGTATGTAGATAGAAATGGCTCATTTTAAGGTAATAAATAACCGTTCGTAATGTCAGGTCTTTATACACCACTGAAAACATAGTTATGTACACTCAGTGGCCACATTATTAGGTACAACATGCTAGTACGTGGCTGGACCCCCTTTTGCCTTCAGAGCTGCCTTAATTCTTCAACCACATCCCAAAGGAACTCTAATGGATGAAGATCTGTTGACTGTGGAGGCCGTTGGGGTACAATGAACTCATCGTCATGTTCAAGAAACCAGTTTGAGATGATTTCAGCTTTGTGACATGGTGCGTTATCCTGCTGGAAGTAGCCATCAGAAGATGGTACACTGTGGTCATAAAGGGATGTACATGGTCAGCAACAATACTCTTTCCTTTCCTGTTCTTAGCTGACAGGAGTGGCACCCAGTGTGGTCTTCTGCTGCTGTAACCAATCTGCTTGAAGGTTTGACGTGTTGTGCGCTCAGAGATGGTTTCTGCATTTCTTGGTTGTAACGAGTGGTTATTTTCTCTTTTCAGACCATTCTCTGTAAACCCTACAGCTGTGTGTGAAAATCCCAGTAGATCAGCAGTTTCAGCCGTCTGACATCAACAATCATGCCATGTTCAAAATAGGGGCGCAACAAATAATCAACGTAGTTGACAAAAATTGATTATTAAATTAGTTGCCAACGAATTTATTTACTTTATTATTGGTCCCCTCTTCTAAATTCGGCAAATGTAATGCATGAAGTTATTCCTTTCTTTGTATAAAATTTGAGTGTCAGTTTGTCTTGCTGTGTTGCAGTACTGATGTGTAAGTTACTCTGTCACTAGATTAATTATATGTATTGTTAACAGCAGATCAGCTCTCGCACAGCGCTGCACACACACAGTTATTTCTTACTGTATGTGTACCCGTTTGGTCCATGACAGGACTTGATTTCAGAGGAACTTTCTTTTGCTGCAGCAGAAACATTCATTAAAACATGAATTTTGAATTAATTCTGAAAGCAGAATTAATTTTATTGTCTTGATTGTTAATCAGCACATGCCTAAACAATCTCAAGCTTAATTTAAAAACTGATGGCTAAAGAAGAGGCATTGTGTATTTTGATTCATAATCCAAATAGCAATTGAACAGGTGTACCTGATAAAGTGGCCGGTGAGTGTATATTATATTGCATTTCTGTCAATAGATCCTCCTAAAAATTACAGAAGATAATGAAAAAGAGAAAATTGCTGTTTCAAAGTAAACAGCTTCCTTTAGTGTGAATCCTTTTACTTGTACTTTATTGTACTATTTTACTTTTGCTGTTGTCAAACATGCCCTGTTCAATTAAAGAGCCATAGGTTCTTTTTTATTTAATGAGCCCTGAATAACATTTTGTCTGGGATGCCATTAGATGACCAGTGTGGATTCCTGGCACCCAGGAAATGCCCCCCCCCCCACCCCCCAAGGCAATTAGAGGGTGTATTTCAGTCACCGGCAACCATGATTACAGCAGCACACATACCTTTTTCATACGTTCTTCAGCCTGCTTGTCACACTCCTTCAGGCAGACTCGTGTCCAGTTGAGCCTGGCCGCCTCGAGGCACTCGGCGGGAACAGTGGGATCAGTGAAGCTGACAAATATGGCGTTGTGGGGCCGACGAGCGCGATTCAAACCAATAAAACTCTTCTTGTTGAAGGGCAACTCACTATAATCAGAAAGCCGAGGGTTAAAATATATTTCTGAGAAGCAGCATCAACATCACTATGAAATAAAACATAATTCCCAATACTGTTGTTTAGACAGACAATAGTTACCCTTGACAAAGGGAAATAGTATAAGTTATAAGACTGACCGAACAACTTGATTGTGATAGATGTCAGGCCGGTAGAAATAATCCGCAGGACTGTCAAGGCGTGAGAAGATGGCCGGGGGTAGAAAGTAAGGCACGGGCTGCTCAAAGAACTCTTGATTCTCTGATTTGCGGAGGATGATTTTTCATACAAAGAAGTGTCTCTTCCACCTTTGAATGTACAGCAAGGCACTGAAAGTCTGCCAGCCCTGCAAAAAGAAAGTAGATCACTGTTGACAGTAGTGAAAAGTAAACAGAAGAACTAAAAGAGGTAAAAAAAAATGAGAGGAAAAATAGAGGAAATGTTATAACTCAACTTGAAGCCACAGTATATCACGATGTGGGTGGACAAACGGCAGATAAATAGAGCACTGAAAGATTATCCAGAAAATCCAAATACTAGTTTTGAAATGTTCAAAACCTCTATAAATTTGGAGGACTTTTAATCTTACCTTGGAATTTGTATGTTGTTCCTATGACGCCGAGTATGTCCATGCGGATCTCAGCATCCTTGGGGTCATTTTTCCGTACCCGCCGCCGCACTCTGAGGAGGAGGTTGCTTGAGGGAAGCGGTTTCCACACAGAGAGTGACAGAAAGGGTCCTGAGGTCGGAAACGCAGCTCAGACGCTTGTTGGGAGACCGAAGGTCTATGGGATCAACATGAAATGCAGACAGGTGTCAGATTTGTGCAGTTTGGCTGCAATGGCAATAATAAATTTGTGACCAGAGCAAAATGCTGGCAGCTATCCTAACACAAAACACATGACATTGACTTTAACAGAAATACAACCTAACTTAAACATAACTATCATTATTATCAAACTGTGTACTGTGTTATAAGCATTCAGGTCCAGGCCCATTTTAATCCCTCCTCAGTGTCTCAAATCGGTAATAAAGCAGGACCCATTAAGGCCCTTACCATGAACTTGTGGGGCTATATCCATATCCCCCTACAAATGTATAGGTGTTGCATACCTGCTTAAAACTACAGCCCTAAAGACAACAAA